CCACCACCACCCCGCAAAGATTCTAAAGGGGCCTGTCCGTGGTCCCAGCCACAGGCTGCACAGCTGAAAACAAACACAGGCTCTCTGAGCAGCACGGCGAAGAACCTGCTTCTCTATAAAAGAAGGCAACTTGAAGAAGGGGATCAACAACCCAACAGGAAAATAAGCAAAGGATACACAGCGGTGGACTACCAATGTGCACACCCAGATCACTAGCAAACCCAGGAAAAAAATGCTCAAAATCTCCAGCAGTCAGAGAGAAACACAAACTAGGTAATAATAAGCTATTGCTTATTGATTTAAAATACCTGGTACTAGTGAGGCTCTGGGGAAAGAAATAACCCTTAAAGTTACTATGGAAACATGGATTGTTATTCCTGGAGACACTCAATATTGCAACATCTATTTAAAAACATGCTAAGTGGGGCTGGAGAAATGGTTCGGTGGTTAAGAAAACTGTTCCTAGCATCCAGGTCAGATCCAGTGCTCACAACTAACTGTCCACAACTCTAGCCTACATGGCCTCTCACCATACCCCAGACCTGCTGTCTTTCTTTGCCTTCTCTGAGACACAGAGTTCCCCAAGTCTTGTCATCTCTCTTCTCTGCTCCAGAGGATCCAACACTCTCTTTTGGTCCCCCATGGGACCCATAGATCCATACTCTCACAGAAACACACATTAATACATATAGTTAAAAATTTTAAAAAAAATCTTTTAAAGTCATACTAAGTAATATGCTCAAGTGTGTTTGTTGCAGACGAAATTCACAGCAAGAGCTGAATGGTAACAACAGAGGAACATTTGAATAAATGTCTATCCATTCTAGGAATACTTTGTAACTATTCAAAGGAATAAAGTCATCATTGATCACAAGTACTTTGGAGTTTTCCACGAGGTATCAGTGACAAAGTATATTGCATTGAAATGTGTATAAAATGCAATCCCATATTTATAAAAATAATGACAAAACCTGTACATGCATACATGCTGATGTGCATGCTTATATATTTGCATACCCTCATGTGTTCATATGCCAACACCAATGTGTTACAGAATATTTAACAGTACAAGGATGTGCTACATTTGTTTCTGCTGCATTTGTTTAATTATGTAAAGATGGGTTGCTGTTTCACCTTGCCTGCCTAAGGCACCTGATTGGTCTAAAAAAAAATAACCAGCTGAACAGCCAGTATCTAGGCAGAGGAGGGATAGGTGGGGCTGGCAGGCAGAGAGAATAAGTAGGAGGAGAAGAAGGAGAGAATGAGGGAGAAAGAGGGGAGAAATGCTTGGGGCCAGAAGCCAGACAACTGCCAGACAGACAGACATAAGAAGCAGTGAAAGTAGGACAGACAGGAAGAAAGGAAAAGGGGGGAGGGAAGCCTGAGGCAAAATGCAGATAAAGAGAAACAGATTAACGTAAGAGTTAAACTAAGGCTGAGCATTCAAAACTAGTAGTCTCTGTGTCATGATTCGGGAGCTGGTTGGTGGCCCAAAACAAAAAGCCTGCTACACAAATGCATGCAGAAACACATGTCGGTAACTGAAGACAACGGCATTATCTGGGAAGAGGAGAGAGAGAGCTGACTGTGGGGGAGGTAGCCAACATAAGGGGGGAAGGGCAACACTAAAGAGCAGTACATGATTGAATCAAGCCATTTGTTGACTTGTGTATGAAGTTCTAAATATCTACAGGTACATGAGGAAATAATAATATTGAAGCAAAATCATAAACTATAGCAAATGATTTCTATTTCATCCCTACAGAGACATTCTTAAAACACAGGATTCTAATGGAGAAAATGTGGTACATTTACACAATGGAGTACTACTCAGCGGGGGGGGGGGGCACGGATGACGACAATGGAATCTTGAAATTCACAGGCAAATAGATGGAACTAGAAGAAACCATCCTGTGTCAGGTAACCCCGTCACAAGAAGACAAACACAAAATTCATATATGGTTTTTAGACATATAGCAAAGGATCACCAGCCTATAATCCACACTGCCAGAAAAGCTAGATAACATGGAGGACCCTAAGAGAGACATACATGGTCCCCTGGAGAAGGGGAAAGGAACAAGATCTCCCAAGCAAATTGGGAGCATGGGGGGGAGGGGAGAGGGAGTTAGGAGGAAGAAGAGGGAAGAATGGGGGGGGGGGAGAGATAGGCATGAGAGAGCAGGAAGATTGAGTCAGGGAAAGAATAGAGGAGAGCAAGAAAAGAGATACCATAATAGAGGGAGCCATCATAGGTTTAAAGAGAAATCTGGCACTAGGAAATGTCCAGAGATCTATAAGGATGACCCCAACTAACAATCTAAGCAATAGTGGAAAGTCTACCTTAAATGCCCTTCTTCTATAATGAGATTGATGACGACCTCATATGCCATCCTAGAGCCTTCATCCAGTAGCTGATGGAAGAAGAAGCAGACACCCACAGCAAAACACTGAACTGAACTCCTGGAATCCAGTTACAGAGAGGGAGGAGTGATGAGCAAAGAGGTCAAGACCAAGCTGACAAAACCTACAGAGACAGCTGACCTGAACAAGGGGGAGCTCATGGACCCCGGTCTAATAGCTGGGAAACCAGCATAGGACCAACCCAGATTCCCTGAATGTGGGTGTTAGTTAGGAGGACTGGGCAGTCTATGGAGCCTCTGGTAGTGGGTCAGTATTTATCCCTAATATAGGAATGGACTTTGGGAGCCCATTCCACATAGAGGGATACTTTCTCAGCCTAGACACATGGGGGAGCGCCTGGGCCCTGCTCCAAATGATATGACAGACTTTGAAGATCCCCCATGGAAGGCCTCATCCTCCTGGGGAGCAGAAAGAGGATGGAATGGGGGTTGGTAGGGGAACAGGAGAGGACAGGAGGGTTCGGAAACTTGTTTCAAATTTAAATTTAAAAAATTATCCCCCCAAAAAATAAAAAACCCCACAGGATTCTAGTGTTTAAATATTATTCCTTTGCTCTGCAGTTAATTCCAGCGCTGCTCTGAACACAAAACACTTTTCCATAATGGAGATATGCCCGACACCACCAGAAGTTCTTAGGGCTGCTGGTCCTTGGGGCTCTGACCCTTGGCATGTAGAGGGCCATGGGAGAACTGCCAGGAAGGCTTTAGACTGGGCACTAGCAGTTGCCTGTCTTCCTGGGCAGCCAGGGACTCTAGACCACATGACCTCCCATCCTTACACCAGATCTACTGTCCTTTTTTGCCTCATGGACCCCCCCCCCACACACACACACACACTTCTCTGAAACACATAGTTTTCCCCCAAGTCTTGTTCTTCTCAGGCCTTCAACTCATAAGCCAGGTAACACACACACACACACACACACACACACACACACACACACAAAGCCAAACTTAAAAGGCAGAGTTTTCCCGCAATCCCCAAACAATAACCCTGCCTTTCCATATCCCCCACAGTAAAGCATCTTTCCATACCCAAACCCCCCCATAGCAAGGAAGATTTCCATATCCAACCCAATCCATACCCCCAGGCACAGCAAGTCAGACCCATTCCAGCAAACAAAAACTTTCTCAAGAATGCCCACTGCTGGCTGTGAGTGTGCCGGATCCAGCCACTAACACAGTAAGTTCCAGGCTTCAGAAGAGACACCGAAAGCCAGAGTCTGGAGGTATGGCGGTGGCCAGCTGATGGGTAAAGAGTCTCCTCTGGGAGTAATGATAAGGGTCTGAACAAGATAAAGAAGGTCCCACCACATTGTCAATGTACTGAATACCAACAGGCAGTACACTTTGAAATGGTTAAAGTGCTAGATTTAGGTTAAAGAAAGAAAGAAAAATAAACAGCCCTCAGATGCCTGGTGGGGCCTCACATACATTACCATTTCTTTTCGCCTGGATGCTGGTATTGGAAGCTGTAACATTTGGCCACCTTGCAGATGGCTCTTCAAGCCCACCTGGAGGAGGACAAGAAAAGAGAGATAAGGACTCATGGAGGGAGCAATCCTGTCTCCTGGGGGGACAATCAATCAGAGCAGCAATGCTTTGGTCAACTAAGTAAGGTTTATTGGGTCAATAAATGTCCCTTTTATATAAACACTCACAAATTAAGTAAGACTACCATCTTCCTCCTTGGTCAGTCAAAGATGATCTAAGTAGAGCATGTGGAGCCCAGGTCAGCTCCTTAGCCAGCTAGAGAAGATGGATTGGATGCAGGGGGAAGCTGGGGAGTCAGGCCACACTGTACCCATGATGGGACTCATCACTGTGGCTCTGCTGTCCTGGGCTTTCTCTTTGTGTTCTAGTTTCCCCACAGGGAGAAACTTCTCTAGAAAACGGCTGGGTTTCCTTTATAAACTGGACCTGATGACACCATACAGCAAGGGCAGTAAGGATCAAATGTGTTTGTGGGCAGCCATATGTAGACACCCTGTCAGCATTCACCTCCCCCGGAAGATGTCAATCTCCAAGTACTAATAGGTCCTGCTGTGTGTTGGGTACAAGCCCTGAAACAAAGATTCAGCCACGAGCAAGGAAGACAGGGTTTCTGCCTCAACACTAGCACTCTCTAAATAGGAGCTGCATATAACAGCAGAGAAGCCAGCAGCAAGTTCTGAAGACCAAATTGAGCATGTGCAGACGAGAGGAGCTGGGGGCTTCCACGGGCTACTGGCTTGGGGCCCCAGGAAGCAGGGAGCATGCGCGGGAGACATAATGACCATGAAACCATGTCAAAGCCTCCAAAGAAGAATCTGTTGACAAACAAGAAGGTATTTTTTGCATTGGTTGAGAAACCCAAAACTTATGAAGCAACCTTCCCCCCCCCCTTTACCCCCCATTAGAACATTCTGGGATAGGTGGGGCATTTTAAAGAAGCCAGGGCTGAGGTGCATGGTAACGAGCCCAGGATGGCTTGGCTCAGACTTGGTCTCCGGGGCAAACAGCCAAGACGTATCCTGTACCACCACTGCATGGTAGTTTGGCACCACACTGTCCAATGGGTTTGCTGTGTCAGGTCCACACCAGTGGAGGCAGCTTGTGGCCCTGGCACTAGCTCCTCAGAGGCAGACTGTCTCATCCACCTCTGTGACTCAGGCAGGGCCTGCAGCTGCCTTGGCCTCCTGTAGAGAAAGGACCCCAACACCAGGCGGGGACAGAAGGAGACTCCCTGCATCCTGCCTGGCTGGCCAGTTTGGAATGTGCTCACCCAGCCCCTGCAGCTGCCGGGGTCTGCGCTGCCAGCTCCTGGCCCTCGGGTATTCCAGTTGCGATATCATTTCCTCCCAGGCTAAAGGTCAGGGGAAATCCTGACGGTACGAAGTCGTTCTGCAGCACAGGAATGTGCCATCTGCAGAAAGAGGCTGGCTGCCACCAGGCTCCAGGTCCAGCTCAGCCTCCGCCCCACAGGCTGCGCAACTGCTGCCGAGAACCTGGGCGTTAGCGTCTTTGGTGTGTCAAATGGGATGCTGCTGTGGAGACCAAATGAGGTAATGGGTTTGTTTAGGTATGTGTTCATTCAGAAAATATGCATCTGACACCTGCTCTGTGCCAGATTTTGTTACTACTGCTGTGGGGGTGATCTCAGGAAATTATATTCTGGTGGACGGGAGGGGAAAAAGAGGAACACATTGATGGGAAGTATTTAAGAGTTGGCTGTTGGAAAGTGCAATGAATAAAAAAAGGGGGGGGGGATTCCAGTGTGCCAGGTCATGGAAGAAAGAAGTCTGAAGAGACAAAAATCTATAGATATCTGGCAAAGAGGATTCCAAACTGAGGAGACAGCAGGTGCAAAGGCCCTGGGGTAGAAATGTGTTCAGCAGCAGGGAGCTGGGTATGCCTGGAATGGAATGAAAAGAGAGAACTAACTGTAGTAGTGAGGCCCTTGGCCATCAGCATCCAGTGTAAGGCCTTGCCGGCTCTCTCTGGACTTCAGCTTTTATTTTGAGTGTTCTAGATAGGATGCAGAAGACATATATCTGCATCCACTTTTTGTATAACAGGAGTTGTTACCAGTGGACAGAGGGAAGACGGGAAGCTGGGGGTCTGTACAGCAGTGGAAGCCCAGCATGGGTACCAATTTCACCCTATTCGGTTTCCCAGAAATGAAGGGACAGGAAGATCTGTAAGTTGAGTCTGGGTGTAGGCCTGGTTCAAGATGAACCAGAGACTGCGATGGAGGCAGTGTGGCAGAGGAGCCAGGCCAGGAGGGATGGCACTCGGTTCTATAGCAGGCAGATGATTCAGGGCGGTTCTCATGCTGGGGCTTTCTGATGCTGGGGCTGAGTAGATGTAAAGCGTTGGGTTGGAGGCGCACAGCAGTGGCTGCGTCTGAAAGTATCTGTGTTAACTAAAGTGTCAACCATGGTGTTAGCCACAAGCTAAACTCTCCTCTCACGTGGGTTGATACTTCCAGCATCATAAAGACCCAAGGACCAGGAAACACATGCCAAGAGGCAAGGCACCTAGACTGCCTGGAGGGGTAGAGGTGTCCGTCGTAGACGATGCTTGTTCTCCTCAGACAACACCCCCCCCCATCAGAGCAAGAACAAGTGAGGTGCCTGGGAGAAACAGACAACTCCAAAAGGCCCAGAGCTTTGTCCAGGCATCTGTGAGAGGGCACTTGACATTAGAGCTGTGGTAGTCAAAATACAGATCAGAGCTAGGAATGGAAGCACATGTCTATCATCCCAGCACTTGGGAGATGGGGCCAGAGGATCGGGAGTCCAAGGCCAGTCTTAGCTATATAGAAAATTTAAGGTCAGCCTGAGCTCCTGTATCAAACTACAAAACAAAACACCACTACCAAAGTCCCGCATCTGATCTTACCCTCTGGAGGGGGACATGCTGTCTTTCCTCAGAGACACCAGGCCCAGGCTTCCGGTTCTGACCTAAAGTCAGTGAGCTGAAAGCCTTGCCTCCTCCCTGATGAAAACCCTCCCACTGCCTCTGGGATGAATTCCTACTTTGTGAGTGGCCGATGATGCCTTTAGTTACATGGCCCTCTGCCTCACCTCCTGCCTCCACTCCCACAAGCTGAGCCACACTAAGCTGTAAGGACTGGGTTCAATTTGTCATCCTCCCCCCCCCCCCTTATTTTTGTTGAAAGACGTCCTTATTATGCAGTCTGGACTGGTCTTGAACTCAAAATCCTCTGCCGCTGCCTGCCTAAGTTCTGGAATTACAGACATGTACCACCTCACTGTTTTCATCTTAAGCATCTTCTGCAAGCGCACCCTCCTCTTGGGCCTAGCTACAGCTTGCTGGTTCCTCAAGTCTCTAGCTGGATGCCACTTCCTCTGGGACACAGCAGCCCAGCGCCCCTATTCTTCCGGGGCTTTAACCCCACCTCCTCTGAGTTTCCTCTGCCCTTCCTTTACCATGCCTAAAGATCTCACTACACATCCCTGGAATCTCTTTAGTGCTCGGTAGACCCCCATCCCCTTGTTAACGTCTTAGATTTAGAACACAAAAGAAGGGGCATTTCCCTCCAGAACCTGGCATGAAGCAGGTACCCAGTTACATAGGTGATGGATGAGTCTGGAAGCAAAAGATTGGGGTAGCTTAATGGTGTTTCAAAAGATGATGCAATCATTCCCAGTTCCGCTTAAGGCTGGGGGCAAATGCATGCTTCTTAGCCTTACTAGAGAGGTGAAGACAGCTACCGAGTAATGGCCCTCAACATTGGTCACAATTTTAATGACTTGGGAAACCTTTGTAAAAAAGTACTGAGGGTAGGCCAACTCCTACCCTCAGAAGTTCTGTTTTATTTGACCTGTAGCATGGTCTGGACATAGGGACTTTGAAAAGCTACCAAAGTGATCTGATGGTATAGTTAAGGTTGATCACCGCAACCAGCAAAAGAGGCATATGCTTAATCAGGCAGTGGTGGCTCATACCTTTAATCCCGGCACTCAGGAGGCAGACGCAGGTGGATCTCTGTGAGTTTAAGGCCAGCAGGGTCTACTGAGCAAGTGCCAGGACAGCCAGGGCTACACAGAGAAACCCTGTCTTAGAAAAAAACAAACAAAAAAGAAAACAAACAAACAAAAAATCCTATGTGTACATATTTGTAGCCAGCAGAAAGCATTGGATGCCCTGGAATGAGTTACAGATGAGCTTCCCTGTGAGTGCTGGGAATAGAAGCCTGGTGCCCTTCGAGAGCAGCAGCTGTTCCTAACCACTGAGCCATTCCTCCAGGCCTTGTATTGTATTCATTTGTTTGTTTCTTTGTTTTGTTTTTGAAGACAGGGTTTCTCTGTGTAGCCGGGCTGTCGTGGAACTCACTCTGTAGACCAGCATAACTCAGAAATGCATCTGCCTCTGCCACCCAAGTGCTAGAATTAATCATATGCTCCACCACTGCCTGGCCAACCTTGAATGATACTCTTAACAAATGACCCCTTCCTTTCCAATCTCCCTAGGAACCAAAGATTTAAAGTTGGAGTTAGACCCATATAACTCCAGAAAAGCTATATGTTAGCTGGCAGAGCATACCTTTAATCCCAGCATTCAAGAGGTGGGTGAATCTCTGATTTTAAGGCCAGCCTGATCTACAGAGTGAGTTTCAGGCCATCCAACACTACACAGTGAAATCCTGTCTCCAAAAACAGATAGATAGATAGATAGATAGATAGATAGATAGATAGATAGATAGATAGCTTTGTGTCACCCCTAAAGCAATGGAAACCATTCCATGATGGGTGAGGTTCAGGCAGAGACTGCAGCTCTAAGTGCTGTAGAAGAAGAAAGACAGGAAATAACTTAATCAGCCAAGTGCAAATCTTCCAAGCACCAGGACCTGAGTTTTACCCCAAACCTATGTGAGAAAGCATGGTAGCAAATTAACCCCTGCATTGAAGGGCTGAGGCCGCAGATTTCTGGAGCGCACTGGCCAGCCAGTCTAGCCTAGTTGGCCAGCTCAGGTCTGTGAGAGAAACTTTGTCTCAAAGGAAAGTCAGTGTCTGGGGAATCTCACCTGAGGCAGTCCTCTGGTCTCTACACGCACACACACACACATGCACGCACGCGCGCACACACACACACACACACACACACACACACACACACCAGAGCAAACAAAGAAAACACAGAAACAACCACTAGACTGGAGACTAGTGGGTAGATTCATAGTGCAGGCTTACTATGAATGCATAGTATATTCTTCCTAAGGAGTGACTTGCAAGACAAAAAAGGTAAACACACACACACACACACACACACAGACACATGCACAGGTATGTATACACATACATACAAATCTATCTCACACATTTGACCGTTGTTTAATTACCTCTTCAGAGTAACAATATGCAAAGCCTTGTAAATTTCATTAGTCACAGGGGTTTATTCAAACTGTCTCCTTTGCATAAGAAACCCAGATACAGCTGGTCTCTGGAAAAGAAAGCCCTCCAAGCCTTGAAAAGAGAGCTTGGCCTGTCCAAACTCTCTCTGAAATACAGTGGAGGTGAACGGCCTGTGATGCATGGGGCCAGGCTGAAATGTCCCCAACCAGCATCTGCAATTCAATCCCACACTTTCCTTTATGGGACAATTCACTGAATTCCAAGTTGTTCTTTTTTCTAATTCACCATATAATTCACCTCCCAAGTTCAATTAAGAAGCAATCTGTTAGCAACTTCGGGAGCAAGCTGCTTTTCTTTAGGAAAGTCCAATTTTCTTCCGATCCCAACAAAAAGTGCCTTAATTACATGCATCATAATAGACACTGGTGTACACACAACGCCCTTCTGCCATAATTAATGAAATATCAATGATACAAACCCAAGATATCCAGGCAGGGAGAGACAGGCTCCTTCAAACCAGGGGACGGTGCCTTGTTTCACAAATCAATATTGCCTATTTAAATAATAGTGACTATGAATATTCATTGATATGGAAATGTATTAACAAAACTTTAATTATTCCTTTTATCCTTCATTCTTACAGCATAACATTACTTGACCCCTAGTTTTCTTAAACACAATAGCTACTGTTCTTAACTGCAGATTATTTTAGGGTGCCCTTATAGATAATTATAGCAGAAAATGCCTTTGATTTACTTTAAGAAAAAAAAAAGGAAGAAACAAAAAAAAAAAAAAAAAAAAAAAAAAAAAAAAAACAGCCCAAGATCCTAGAAACCAGTTTACCAGCATTCTATTCATTTCAGAAAATCCCAGCTGAGCACCTGCCCTGGGCAGCGGTGCAGGCTCCTGCCCACATGGCCTGCCTTCATGGTGTCTGAATTCTAATGGATTAGCATAAACAATGAGCTCATTTCAGGGAGGGATTAAGCACTTTGAAAAAAACTGTAACCAAATTTTCTAAAATGAGAGGTGGCATGTGAGCTGAGACTTGAGTTTTGAGAAGGCGACACCTATGTGCAGATAGTAACAAAGAAACCCAACTGTAAGGCAGCCCTGAGACACACAGAGGAACTCGGAGCTGAAGTTGGGGCTCAGTGCAAACCTGTCAGACATAGCAGGAACAGCTTTTCAGGGACACCTCGCCACCTTGTCTAATGGTTCACTTAACACACAGCCCCCTCTCCAGTGAAGCGTCCCTATTCCCATTTTACATAAGAGAAAACCGAGGTTTGCAGCATGAGGACCAGACAGTCCGTTATTGGATTTGTGGCTTCCATCCCAAGGTTGCCTCAGAAGACACACTCTACTCCATGCTTTCACCCCTCACCTGGATAGGTCTGCCTAACCCACAGCCCAGACAAGGCCCAGTGGGTGTACACTCCCACCAAGAAAACCAGCAAAATGCAACTACTCCCCTGAGTTTTTAAAATTATTCATCGGGGGAAAATGGCAAAGCCCCTTTAGAAGGTCGATCCAAGAACAAACAAGGCGATCACTATGGTAATCAATGTGTGATCTTGAGCTATCCCATGCCAAGTAGCTTTCAAATTCCAAATGCTACAGAAGGGGAAGGGAAAATGAGTTAAAAGATCATTGCCAGATTTTGTTAATGAAACGATTTAATCCTGGCGAGGGAATAATGACAGGAATTCTGCTACAGTTGGGGTGGAAGAGAGCCGTAAACTGGTAAGTTTTTGTAATTTTATAAGATATGAGTCTTCTAAAACAGGCATTGTTGGTCTGTCAGCCAGGTGTCCGTCCACACAAGGACTGTGTCAACAGGAGGGCAAGGGTCACTCATCTCAACCTTAAGAATAGACTGTGGCTCCTGTGTCCACAATCGGAGAATGCTAAGACAAATTGTGACACGGTGGAGTGATCTGTAATCTTTTAAACTATTTTAGATATTTGCTGGAAGGAAAAACACCATATTGCAAGACAAAAAAAAAATACATAAAATAAAATAAACAGGAAACAACAGGTTAAGAAATAATGCCCAGTATAATTCAGATAGAACAAAGCATGGTCCCAGCCCCAGTCCCAGACTCGTAAATAGTCCAAAACACATGGGACACCCATGACTGGAAATGACCTCAGTGACCATTGTGGAAGTCTCTGCTTTGTGATTGTGAAGGGAGCTCTGTGTTCCTATATGATTCTTATAACTTTCGAATGCTATCCCCCATGTTGCTTTTATAATAGAGAAACAATTTTTTAAGAGCTCCATTGCAACGGATATTTTGCTGGAGAACGTGTTTTCTTCACTTCTGCACACATGCATAAGTACAAGTGTGTACTCACACACACAAACAGAAGTTGCCAGGGAAACCTGGTGGGAAAGAAACAGTTGTGTTTATGCAGATGGGAAAGTTGTAGGCCATGCCCAATCCCCCTGCTTTTCTCTCTGACCACTGGGAGAAACAAGGAGTTCACACCTTGGCAGGATGAATGTCATTGGTAGGATCCAGAGAGAAACTGTC